ATGTTTTAAAATATTTTCATCGTCACTATTGCATTTATTGGTGACTTCAGGCGTTCGGGGTAATTGATGAGAATTATCACCATTTGACCGTGACAACACTGCCTTCTTTGTGTACTTGATACCTACATACCCACAAATATTTCTTATTTTTATGAATTTTGTGAGTGATTTGTTTGTTTTTGAACTGATTGTTAAATAATAAAATGGAAATAAAACAGAAAGTCAATAGTGAAATGGAAATAAAGCACAAAATTAATACCACAGCATAAAGTTTATTTAATTGGCAGTGTCGCGATTAGTTTCGGCTTACATTGGTCAGTGACCACATGGAGGAAGGATTAATGTTTCTATGTGACCACATTACATTTGAGATAATGGATAAACTTTCAGTCATGATTGTAAAGTGTAAGTGTTCCGGGTTCCAGGTTGTTACATTATTTTAATGGTAAAATACATCTTCTTGCTAACACAAGATACTTATAACATAAGAAATAAAAACCAGATAAAACTAAAAAAATTAAAACACTTGAATCTTTTTTATTTTATCTTAATATTTTGCATGTACCTATTATTATTGCCTTATTTTTAGCTATTTTTAGTTTTAGTAAAAATAATACCCGAAATTTACATTTTATAAATAAATCGTTATAAATATAATAAATGGTTTCATTTCATAAAAAAATGTAGCACCAAAACATGATTAACCATTATAGTTACGATTTGTTTGCTTTTTGTAATCAAATCTCAACTTTAATGGCACACATAATAACCACGTTCAAAGCGTGCTTCCAAAAAATTATTCAGACATTCAAAAATTGCCGCCATCGTTTAGTTTAAACCCCCACCACTGTGAGGGCGCTGAAATCAGCTACGAAAATTATACATTGAGTGTACTGTCTATAAACAATATATAAAAGGTCTGTGACTGAACTCCTCGCGTCGAGCTCACCCAAATATATACTGTTGGGACGCAATGAGTGTCCGGGGCATAGTTCACGCACCTATTCGGTTTCAACCAATGAAAACATCATGACATAATGAAATACGTCATTTGTGCTTCGTTAACTATGCGCCGGACACTCATTTTGTTCCAATGCACAGCTGTGCACTTAAAAACACAGGTGTTCGACGTTCGGTATTCTGAGAAAAATGCTATTTATAGTTTTATGACTTCACATTATATTAGGGTAAAAAGCAGTCGAACTATTTGAGAATTGTTTATTTATTTAGTAGATGTAAAATATTAATTTGTTGATATTTTTACTGGTGAAATTGTAAAATTTAACCAATATTGATCTACCTATTTCTATTTTAATCGTTTTGTATATTCAATATGCGTGTTCTCAGCTAGTTTTCAAATGTCAAATTTTCGACCCCTTTTTTGTTTTACTACTTTTCTGTCACCTTCATCGTCGCTCTTTCCTTTTCTGTCAATATTCTATTCTTTATTATCTTCTCCAACTCTTTTATATTTGTCTTATATTTTTAACATTTTGTTCATATTTTTTACATTTTTATTTTTTTTTTCTTTCCTTCATTTTGTTTCCAATTTTCCTCTTAATTTTTTCCTACTTTGTTTGTTCTTTTCCATTTATTTTTATTTTATTTTCCTTATCTTATTTTCTGTTCTGCTCTTTAACTTGTTTTTATTTTAAATTAATTTCTGTTTCAATATCATTGTTGTTTTTTTAATTTTCAATTTACTTTTATTCTGTTAATTTCTTTTTTGAATTTTCTCGTTAATTTAATTTTTTCTCAAATTTTATATTTATAGTTTCTTTTTGTATATATTTTTTTATTTTATTGATTTCTACACTTTAATTTTGCATTTCTTTGTCTTCTTATGATTTATATTTGTCTTTTTTCCTATTTCTTGTTTTTTCAATGTTTATTTAATTTAGTAATTCCTCCAATTTCTTCTCTAATATTTTTTCCATTATGTCTATTATGTTCACTTTCATTTTTTACATAATCTGCATCATCTTTTCTTTGTCTTCTGTTATAAATTTCCTAATTTCTTCTTCATACAAACTCTTTTATTCTCATTCATTTCATTTACTGTTTTCTATCTTTCTTCATTTTTTTCTTATCTTTTCGATTTTTAACGATTTTTCCTTATCTTGTTAAATATTTTACTTCATTTCTTCCTTATCTTGTTGTCTATCTTTCTTTAGTTTTAGCAGCATCATTATTATACAGTTAGCATACAGTTAGTGAAGAAAAGACATAGCAGAAGGAAAGAATAATTGATGAAAAATATATTTTCATATTTTTCTTTAATTATTGTTTCCTTCTCCTGTTCCTTTTCCTAACTAACTGTATTTACATTATGTTTTTGTTATTACAATTTCCAACCTCTTTCATTTCTTCGGTTTATTCGTCCATGAAATCAACCTTCTCTATTTAATTTTCTGTGCTAAGTAATGTATAGTTATCCTGAACTCAAATTTTATTAATATTTATATAAAAGGAAATTGTCAATGAACAATTTCCATACAGGTCTAGCTATAGATATAAATCATTTGACTATTGTAACCTTAAAAATTGCAAACAAAAAGGATAGTTAAAAAAAATAATTTTCTACTTTCCTCTCCCTTTTACAATTTTAGACTTAATACTTTTACTCAATACTTTTATGCAATAAAATTTACAATTAAATAAAAGATATTATAAAACAGACGTTGGAAACACCCAGGGAGAGAAACTCAAAGGGGTGGTTCGTTCGAAAAAATTTACAAATTAATAAATACCAAATGATTTAAATGAAAATATAATTTTTTTAACTTAATAAATTATATCTCTTCTTTTGTCTGCTATCTATTATCGTCACTATTGATTCCCTTTTCCTTTTTCCGTGCCTATACCTTTCTTCTTTTTTCGGATGTCTTGTCCTACTTTGTTCTACCTTTGCATCTACCTGTGTGTCTATGTCTTCGTTTGCTTCTACTTGTGCGACTTTTCTTTGTTTTTATAAAATTAAATTTTCTTTTTACTCTGTTTTTTTTATTTGTCTTCATTTAACATTCCAATTCAACAGAACTTCGTCAAAATCCAACAAATTCCCATGAATAATAAAACGCTTTTCTTAAAACTTTCTGACCTTTTTCTAACTAACTACTTTTTTCCTATTGACAGTAAAAAAAATCAATGACATCCTGATTTTCAATTCAAATTTTGATTTTAAGCAACTTCACCACCCGAGCATGGTTTAAATTTGACAAAATTATAATGAAAAATAATGTTTATATCAATATATCCTGTGAACAAAAGAAGGTCATTCCTGTGACAGGGCTTAACCCAATTCTTAGAAATCAGTGCAACTGACCTATCCGCCTCCAGATTTCCCAGGACCACCAATAAATCGATATAGGACAAGAGCTAAGTACTAATATCACTTTACCAGTCAGATAGCTGCGAGTTATTTTATAAAAATCCGTATTTTATAGAAAATAACCAATATCTTCGTTTTACGAGTTTTCGCAAAACTATATGAAATAAGAAAAATCACTTATCAATAATATTTATACAAGGTGTTTGTATATTCGACCGACAACGCTCTACCCCAAAGAGCTCTCGTTACTTGATGTCTTTTGATATAGGTACATAAAATCGTAAAGGTCTTAGTTACCGAGATACAGGGTGTTAAAAATTTTAAATCAATATTCAAAATTTACCATAAAACAAAAACGTCTTTAAATATTTTTTTCAAATTTGATCCACCAAGATCGTGCCAGAAATACAAACTATAAAAAATTTGACATGTGCTTACTAGATTAGAGTTTAAAAATATTCGAGTCGTTGTAAGTGATTAAGAATATGCAGACTTTTGTTCAAAAGCAGATTTATGCGACACTGTTCATTTTAGCTCCATTAAAAGTTCACTTTTTATTTACTAAAAATGAACGTATAATTTAAAAAAATAATAGTAAAAAAATATGATGTGTTCAACACATGACTTTAATATCTAGTTAATATAGGCTTTTTCCGGTTATTTTGTATAATCTATTGCACCACCTCTATAAATGTGGATAAACTAAATATATATTCATTTTCCACATACATCTACCTCGAAACTTTTTTCTATAGATATTCATTGAAAACGGAAATACCGTCAAACGGGTTGAATCAGGACTAAGGGGTCAATCGGGACAGTATGACGTTTATTTACAAACACGTGATTTTTATGCTTGTAGCCAATGTTTTTAGGACGGGTAATATGAAAAGCCTATTGCAGAAACCACAATCGTTTGACCTTCGTATGTCGCCGTCAGTTAATTCGCAACGCTTCATTGGTACAGGTGTCAAAATATTGCAGTATAATTTTACGTTTTTAAAACCGGCTGAAAACTTCGTTTGAAAAAGGTATTTATTGTAGGATTTTAGTATTGCATTGTTAATATAGTGTACCTGTGGGTATTTTCTAGATGTTAAGTTGAGTTAAGTTGAATAAATTATTTTGTAAAGTTTTTTTATTATTAATTAATAAAAAAAACAAATCACTTCTAGGGGTGAATCGGGACGATGGTCCGAAAATACAAAAGAACGCCTAGGACTAGGTTTTACCAAAATTATAGTAAAGAGCAGCTTGAAACGGCTTTGAAGCAATTTAGAAGAGGCCAAATAACTCTTCGAGAAGCAGAAGAGTTATATAATATACCAAGATCGACGCAACAATGACATGCTAAACAGAAGCCAAAGAAACATAGTGGGCAAACTATTTTGTCAGAAGGTGAGGAAAGTAGGCTAGTGCATTGGATAGTATTGGCGGGAGAGTGGGGATACCCGTTGGAAAAAATTTATATTCGATACATCGTTAAGGCATATCTTGATAGAAAAGGAATAAGCCAGTTTACCTAGTGCTTTGACTAGGAGCGTTTGTATTCGAATCGAAGAATATTTAGTAATCTTGTTTTTGACAGCTGTCAATAAAATTCTGTAATTTTGTTAAGGTTTTATCTCACGCCAGTGTAAGTACCCTGACCCTATAAGGGAAGCGGTTTATGTCAGAGCCCACAAGGGCCCCCATAACCACTAATGTCGGCTTCGAAACACAGTACACACGAAGACTGAAAGACAGGTGTAGGCCTGATTACAAAGAGCTGAGCAAATACGCTAAAATTCAATCCCCTCAGAATATTAGAAAGGCCAAAGTTAAGATACTACCAGTCCTAAACGTAAGTAGATACTCTATACCACTTACGGGCACTAACAATAACACCGGGGTCAATATACCGGTAGCTAAGGAACCGCTCGCAAAAAAATTCGAAGAACGACCTTCAAACGACCCTGAAGTGTTAGAAACAGCAGAAAGCAACAAAGCTGTTGCTATACAAACCGTCCCACCTCCACAATCAAAAGAGGACCTTGAAAAAATTCTGACGGAAGGGGACTCGGATGACCTCGAGTTCCATGACTCATCCGACGCCACAATGGACAGCCAGGATGAAAATACTACTAATAATAGTTCAAAAAACTCAATCATCCAAGTAGATAAGGAGTCTAACCCCATCCCAACTCCTTCTACAGGAGCAAAACCGAAATTTAAAACCCTCCCCCTACCCTCAAACGTGGTTACCACACTACTTGATTTTAGAACCAATAATTATCAAATAGAACCTAACGCAATCACAGGGGAAGATCTCCCTAAGGTTGACATATCACAAGCTAATGACAGTGTAGATAATACTCAGACTCAAGGTGGACCGAGTAGCTTTAGGTCTGAGTATGAATATGCACTGTCAAATACAAACGATAACAATTTAAACAGAGTCGCTGAAAACATCTTCAGAGAAGATGCAGCGACATCAGGTGAAGAAAACGCACGATCACGCAGACCTAGCGTCCCGACAAAAGAAGAGAAATTACCACATTCTCCAAATAGTCGCTTCGCACGCAGAAAAGAGGGAGAACCTATTACGCCGGAGAAAAACATGGATGTTGATGAACCGATTCCCAAAGATAACGAGACACCGTTCACTAACCCGAGAAGGTTCAGCTCGAACTTTCAAAGACTCATCAGGGAAAAAACAAAAAAATCTCTGACACCGACTAAAAACAGATTCGAGCCTCTAACTGACGAGTCTGATTCCGATCAAATCGATGATGATGAGATCGGAAAAATAGTTAAAAAAAGGAAGAAAGCAGCCAGTAGTAACACCAAACCGGTAGAAAGATCAACCAGTGTTAACTTAGACAATATAGATGTCATGGCAGCAAACACTAATGACAAAACCAACAGGTCAAAAACCACGGATGTAAAACAAGTTAAAACTAAAATTACAATGCCACCCATAGTAATTGATGGGAAAACCACCAACCCAAAAAACCTTATACAGGACATTAAAGCCATTGCCAAAGGTAGTTTCAGTATAAAACATACGAACTACACTACCGTCCTATTTATAGATGAGAAGGAAGATCATGAGAAAGTCCTAGCTAACATAAAACTTGACAAGATGCCGTATCACACCTACACAAACAATGAAGATAAATCCCACGCCTTTGTCCTGAGGGGATTGTCAGAGGGCACAAAAATCGCAGACATAGAACTAGATATGGAGGAACAGTATGAAATCAAAACTAGAGCTATCTACAAAATGAAAACGAAAGATCGTCCTCTATATCTAGTTATTACCGACCCAGCGATTACGCTGGACTACCTGAATAGGAATGCTCGGCGAGTACTCTACACAAGAGTTGTGTGGGAGTTAAGAAAATCTGCTAAACAGATTATACAGTGTCATACATGTCAAGGCTGGGGGCATGCAACGGCAAACTGTGGACGTCCAGCCAAATGTCTCAAATGCGCGGGGGATCATCATACCCGCACATGTACAAAGACTCGGGAAACACCGGCTACCTGTGTAAACTGCGGGGGTGATCACCCCGCGAATTATACCAAGTGTAAAGCCTATGTGGATAGGCTTGAAAGGCTAGAGGAAAGGAGAAAACCAGTGAAGCAGCAAACAAAATATGTGCCTGCTCCCCCACCTGCGGTTAACAGATGGGAAAACAGGAGACAACCCACTAGAAACTTAGAAGAATTCCCTGCTTTACCAAGCAGGAGCCAAAATCCAAGCCAACCAGAGAGAAGCACAAGAAATGAGAGGCCAAGACAGGAAAATGAGGGTAAGATCATGAACGATGTCTCGACCCTAAATAATGAATTAATAGAGTTAAATAAAATCATTAACATCGGCGAAATGACTAGAGCCGTTAGAGAATTAAATGCAAAAATGAGACAATGTAAAACAGGACAACAACTATTCGAAACATACAACGATTTCATGACAAACATTGACTTTAATTTCAATTTAAGAAACTGAACTAAATAGTAAAGACAAACAAACACTTAAAATTTGTTTTTATAATGCAAATGGGATGCGCAACAAAACAGCACTTGTTCGCAGTTTCATTCTCAAACATCATTTCGACATCATACTCCTTACGGAAACACACTACAAACAAACGGACAAAATCAAAATACAAGGATATGATGTCATACGACAAGACAGACCAGACCAACCATGGGGTGGAGTAGCTTTCATCATAAAATCCAATATTGAATTTAAACTAGTCGCTAACCTGAACATCTCACAGGAGCATATAATAATAAAAATAAATGATATAACACTCGTAGGATTATATAACAAGCCATCTAACAACTTTGCGCCAATAGAATTCCACAAAATCATGGCCACGGGTTACAGGGTTCTATTACTCGGGGACCTGAATTGTAAACATCCACACTGGGACGCAAATTGCACAATACCCAACAAAAACGGCAGAACCCTTGATAAATTTGCGGATGATAATGATTATATTATTCACTATCCCGATGATCCAACGCACTTCCCTTTCTGCGCAGATCACACACCGAGCACTATAGACATAGCGGTAGCAAAAAACTTACCCAACATTGAAAACACAAGAACGATTAAAACACTAAACTCGGACCACGACCCCGTATTCTTAATAATTAAATCTACCACAATCATCCCCAGAATACGGGGTATGTACTACGACTACAATACCACAGACTGGACACAATACAGACGAACCCTGGACTCAAACATCACAATTAACACGAACATTACCGACATACAAACACTTGAAAACGAATTCGACAATTTACAAAATGCCATTTTAACAGCTAGAAACACATCGACTAAGAAGACAAAACGAAAAACACATCACGAAGACCTACCGCAAGACATTGTAGAGTTAATACACACGAAAAATAACATACGTAGACGATGGCAAACACACCGACAAGCCGCTGACAGGGTTATTCTACTGGAAATAGCAAAAACAATAAATAAAATGATTCACGAATTTCGAAATCAAAAATGGAAGAAAACCCTGGAGGCGGTCAACACAAAAGACAACTCAGTATGGAAAATTGTCAGATGCTTTAAAAAGCCCTACTCACAATTACCCATACTGAAACATAAACAAAACAATACAACCTACATTACGGACGAGCAAAAGGGAAGTGCACTTGGAGAATATTTTCAAAGTAATTTCGTAAACCCTCAGGCCAATAACGAACAACAAAATCAAATCGAGAACACGTATGATGATATACAAAATATCCCCACACAAAATATACCCCCTCAAATGCTTACTTCCCCTCAGGAAGTATATAACACAATTAAAAGATCCCCGAGTAAGAGAGCACCTGGTCCGGATGGCATCCATAATAAGCTACTAAAAAATCTCTCTAAAAAATCAATGGTTCACCTACATTACCTAATAAACACAGTATTGAAATTACAACACTACCCAGAAAACTTAAAAAAAGCCAACATAATACCCATCCATAAAGCTGGCAAAAATAAAAATGAAATAGAAAGCTACCGCCCCATTGCCCTCCTAAATGGCATCGCCAAAATACTCGACAAAATTATACTCAACAGAATAACGACACACGAACATGACAAACCAATCATCCCTAAGGAACAGTTTGGATTTAAAGCCGGACACAGCACCATAGCACAAATAATTAGAATTGCGCATCACGCTAAAAAAGCCTTTAATGAGCAAAAACAGACAGTGCTAGTCGCGCTGGATGCTGCGAAGGCTTTTGATACAGTCTGGACCAAAGGGTTGATTTACAAGATGTTTGTGAATGATTACCCTGTTTCCCTTATAAAAATAATGCAAACGTACTTACAAAACAGAACATTTAACATTAAAATCAACAATACTATACAAGGACCTTACAGAGCACAGGCAGGAGTACCCCAAGGATCAGTACTTGCGCCGCATCTGTATTCCATCATGACCCATGACATACCAATGGGTCAGGATGGCATACAGACGGCCTTGTATGCGGACGATACTTGTATCTACAAAACATCCACATCAGCCAACATAGCGAGCAGAAGATTGGACATACATATAAACCGAACGGTAGTCCCCTATCTAGAAAGTAACAAAATAAAAATAAACGCAGAGAAAACTGAAAGCGTAATCCTGTCCAAGAAATTCTCAGACATAATTATTACTAATATTAAAATTCAAGGACAGGAAATTGTAACTAAAAACAGTCTAAAATACCTAGGGTTTATACTAGATAGGAGACTGACGTTCGCAGAACATATTACAAAAAGAATTGGTCTGGCTACAGGGGCAATTAAAACTCTATACCCAATGTTGCACAAAAACAGCGGTGTCACAACAAAAAACAAGTTACTACTATACAAGCAAGTAATCAGGCCAATTCTTACATATGGATGTCCTGTTTTCTGCTCTATGGCTAACACTCATTTTAAAAGGCTACAGTTAGTCCAAAACAAGTGTCTCCGGCTCGCATTGGGGTGCGACTACTATGCAAGAATAACGGACATGCACGAACAAACATCCATGGAACCTATTAAAGAATTCATACTAAAAATATCCGAAAATTTCTTTGAAAAAAGCATACCACCATTCATCAAAGACGATATATTAACAATCCACCAAAATGATGGTGTAAACAGAGTCCATGGATGTTTACATCAAAACTTAAAACTTTACAGACGTCAATAGAGACAGCCCTCAGCTACCGACAGGACGTGGACTGGGCGCTGCTACTAACTAACTCACAGCAGCGAGTATTACACTGAATAGACAAATCTCGAATCCGGCTAGCTATCAACTCTAGTCGGACGGAAGACTGCATGGTGACGTCATCATTCGATGCTGAAATTGCAGTTTACCTAGAGCTCTTCTAGGATACGGTTGCTAGCGAAACTACGTTCGTTTTGTGTTTATTCCAAGTGACAGCTGTCAAATTTTAATTTTTCTTTTCTAAGTATATCCCTCGCCAGAGTAAGTGTTTCCCAGATTAAGGGAACAGGTCAATGACCGAGCCCGGAAGGGCAGCCACAACTTCGAGAGTATTTGAGACAGAATACTCAAAGAGACTCAAAAGCCGGTACAAGTACCTGGATAAACATCGTAAACTGTACCCGGACAGCCTCCCGAGCAGCCCAAAGCCTAAAAAGAAAACCCAAACATCAAACGTGAGTACTGAGAGTGACAAAACACTAACACATAATCCTGGGGTCAGCTGCTCCAAAACAGGGGACCCCCTGGCAAAATTTTCCGAAAAGTCACCTTCAAATGACCCTCAAACACTCAATCGTGACATACTAGCAGGATCTTCGACTAAAAAACCCCCCAGAAAGCCCTCTGCGGATGGCTCTGAGGACATGGAATACCATTCCTCTCAGGAAAATTTAAGTACGGCTCCAAATAGCCCCAATAGCGACGCTAACGCGTACAAAACCGTTGAAAACCTCATTGACGTGCTGGAAAAATCCTCAGACTCTATTGAAAGCAACGATAGTGAGATGAGTGACTTAAACTCCACAGTAGTCCCACAGAAAGAACCGGGAGAATTAGACAAAGACGTGGCTAATTTCTACTCAGAATATCAGAGAGAATCTACACCACAAGTTCAATTCAAAACCCTGAGTATGCCCACTAACGTAGCAGCCAGAAACCTAGATTTTGGCCCAAAAGCTACACCAACATCGAACAACGCTGGAAGTGTGGGTGGTACCCACAAAGGGGGTGAACTGAGTAGCTCCTCGCCTGGGTATTTCCCCACACCAACAGCGGAACAGTCTCAACAATCCAATGTAAATAATCCTCAAATCCCTCCTGCACCCCCATTCAATCCGATTCCACACACACCCAACTTTCCGCAGCACGTTGAGCAAAGACGAAGAATCAACAGCGACCCGAGAATCAAAATTACGGTCATGAACACGGATGTACCGAGTACAATAGCCTCAAACATACACGATTTTGACCCAAACAGGCAAACTACGTCAGAAGAAGAACTACCCTTCTCGGAAAATGAAGCAAATCTTCCACGATCGCCAAACAGCCGATTCCCATTAAGATCCAGCACAGATAGACTTACAAATGAAAAATTCCCAGACATAGAAATGATCAGCAAAAAGAATGACACACCATTTGAGATACCTAGAAAATTCAGTTCGAATTTTCAGAAACTGGTCAGAGAGAAAGCTAAGAAGACATTAACTCCCACTCAAAACAAGTACCATGTCCTTACAGACGAATCGGACACGGACAATGACGATGAGATAGGGAAAATTGTAAAAAAAAGAAAAAAAGGAGCCAAATTTAAACCGTTCATAGCAGAAGAACATGAACCCGTACGAAAATCGACAGAAATAGCCGCTAATAATGATCTAGAAAACTCTTCTAAGGCCACAACGTCAACAAAGAAAACAATGACAGTCGCAGAACACAATAACAAAAGATCTATGCCCCCAATTGTCATTGATGGCAAAACAGCGAACCACAATGTACTTATCAAAGACATACAAGGGCTAGTCAAAGGGGACTTCTCGGTAAAACACACGAACTATACCACCATACTGTTCGTAGATAAAAAAGAAGACCACGCTAACATAATCACGAATATGAAAAATGAGAAGCTACCGTATCACACATACACGGCTAGGGATGACAAGACCCACGCCTTCGTATTAAGGGGACTTGGAGAAGGGACAAAAATTAACGACTTGAAAGAGAACCTAGAGGATGATCACGAAATCATAGCGAGGGAAATTTACCAAATGAGAACTAAGGAACGTCCCCTATTCCTTGTTGTAACAGATCCGGCACTGACGCTGGATTATCTGAATAAAAATGTAAAAAGGGTACTACATACAAGAGTTACATGGGAGCTCAGAAAAACGACGAAGCAGATAATCCAGTGTCACCAATGCCAACAGTGGGGACATGCAACTGCCAATTGTGGTAGGCCGCCGAAGTGTCTAAAATGTGCAGGGGATCACCTCAC